GATCCCGGCCGGGAGTCGCGTTTCCATTCCACCCTGAGTCTTAATTTTGTGGATGTGATGTTGCCTCCGTCTTTGTTGCAGGGTCCGTGCCAGCAGTCTGCCGCATTTATTTCAATACTTATAGAAGTATCGATTGGACTTACGGAGCACGTTAGGAAGTTTCTGGGAGAGCAGGTCCCTGAGTTGCCTGCGCGTGTCAGTCAGTTCTAGGTACACCTCTTCTGTCTGTTCCTGTTTGTGTGTAGTTTCCAGTTCCGCTAACCATTTGGTCAATTCCAGAACGCGTCTGGTATTCTCGCGTTTACACTGCATGCAGTAGTTGATGAAGTGCCCCCTGACAACGCATTTGTGAGCCTCCCACGTTATCAGTGGGGACACTTCGGGGGAGATATTATTTTTAAAATACTGGGTGAGTGTCTGTGTGGTCAGTGTCGCGCATTCCACGTCGGATAGTACAGTCTCATTTAATTTCCACTGACATTCCTGTGGTTTAAATAGGGGCGATTTAATTTGGATGGAAACGGGGGCATGGTCAGAGTCTCATTGGATCCCTATGTCCGCGGATATCAGCGAGGGGAGATATTCCTGTGCCTGTAGGTAAGGCCAATACCCAGGGCCCCCTCCCAAACAAACCTCACCCTCCCTCTGTTGCTTTCGGCCATTCGGGGCTGGGGGGGGAGACGTCCCTGCCTTGGGTTAGAAACCAGTGGGGATGAGATCTCAATGAGGGTGAGAGCCCTCTGAGGGTGGGAACCCATTAAGGGCGAGCACCCATGTGCTGTGCGACCCCAGGGCAAAAGTGATCCCCGTGGGGGAGTGAATAAGGGGGTTGCGGTGTAAGGAGTGGAATGTACATACCCACGTAGTCATCAGCTTTTGAGTCTGGTGCACCAGCTTAGGGTGGGAGCCTCAGTCCAGAGAACAGACACCTCGCGGGCAGGGTGTGCATGGGCCATAGGACAGGTCACCCCCACTACCACTCCGTGCTGATTTACCATTTACCTTTAA